ATCTTCTGTTCTTGATGACAGGGAACACTTTGTCTGGAAATGGCAAAATACTTCACCCCACTGGGTATCAATCCCTGCTTGTTTGGAGTTCCAGCCTGATATCATGCCAGCTGAAGCAAACCTGCACACGTTGCTTTTATCATTGAATAGTTTATTATCATTAATTTCCAGATGTGAAAGTTTTGATTCAAATAAAGGATGCTTGCTTCAACATTTCTTCAAAGCAGCAGTTTTTTAAACCTTACCCAACTGAAGCCATGTATGTTTCAGGCTTCTGCCGCTTTCTTGCTTGTGATTTGTGCAAGCAAGAAAGCAGCAGAAGCCTACAACAGAACAAGACACTTAGAGTGAAGCCGTTTACTGTTACTATAGGCACTGAAGCTGGATATCTATACAATGAGATAAAACCCCATAGATAACTTAATTGAAAGCTACAAAACAAGCCAACCTGTATTAAAAGACACAATCTTATTTCTATTGTTATCTTTAGCTTCGAAATCTGTTAGTCACAAAATTGTGCCAAGCTGTTGCTAATGTAGAAAGACCATTTCAGCAATATCGTTGTATGGAAATATTAGTGCTTTGTTGGAATTGATAAGGAAAAGTCATATTAATATGGTTCCATTTAAAGTTAAAAAAATTAATTTCCTTTAACTTCATTTATTACTATGCTTCCCTGAAGGCCAGATAGCTGTGATGGTTAATTGTAAAATTGTCAATACTTTGCTATAATATAACATTCTGCCATAATTTAAAAAAAAATATTTTTTACTATTCAATTTGTCACAAACAGTAACTGTTGAAAATGAAGCTAGGGTTTTGCCTATAAGATATATATGTTGCTTTGTACAAACTTGTTACCACCAAGTGATATTGAAGGAAGTCTCTTGTGCTGCCAAATGGCAGCTTTTGTGGTATCACTCAAGTATATTAGGATTTTATATTGGAGTATTGGATGACTTATAATGTATACAATGCAAGAGCAGTTACATCTTGTGACAGACTGTCAGTTAGCTGCCAGTGTATTCTATAAAATATACTAACATTGTTTATTCAGTAAATCAAGGGCATAAAATGCCTCCTACTTTAATGAGACATTTTCTTACATCATACCACAGCTGGTCAAAAAGTGATTTCTCTGTTTAAATAAGAGACAAGTTATATTGAAAGAACTGTAATGTCAGTGCAATCAAACATTTGTATTTCTGCAAATTTTATTACCATCCCATTTCTGTTCTCAGGAATTTTTCACTTTATTTCCATTCCTGTATTGTGTATATTAATGTTCTGTTCTGACCATTCTTATTGGAATTTTGTGGGAAATAGGGTTTCTGCAAAACTTGTGCTTTTTGTCAGCTTGTTTGTGCACGCATGTGCGTGTTACTTAATAGTTAATTCTTTGAAAACATAATTTCATATTTTAAGTAATTATGCATTTAATTTTAACTAAAATTGTTATTTTTAAAATAATTATTATACACCTATATTTCTTAAGAGAACAACAAATATGTTTTTAAGACAAAATGTCTTTTCTCATCATCTACATATGAATTTGAGGCTGGATTAATGAAAATCTCATAAAATGGAGCATAGTATCTCACCTACGTTGTAAAGTTATCAGAAATTTACAGTATCTTATATCTCATATTCACAAAATACATTATAGTATTTATGACAAAGCAGAAGTTGATAATGATGGAATGTTTGGTAACACATCGCTAGTGACTATTTACAAGGTGTGCTTTTTAAGTAAGTACCATTTTGATATTAAAAAAACACAACTGCATTTTTTAAAAATAATTTTCTTACATGAAAGCTTGTACTTTAATCTACTTTTCAACATAATTTCCTCCAATATGTAGGCACTTTTCATATTGTACAACTAGCTTCTGAATTCCATCCTCACAGACACCTGCCACCTGATTTGGCAACCATTGCAGCATGGCGTTTTGCCATTGTCGTCTTAGTGCTGACTGCCTAGATGCCTTTTTCAAGTGGAGGAACAAGTGGTTGTCACTAGTCTCTAGATCAGGGCTATATGTAGAGTGATCAAGTTGTTCCCAGTTATATAATGTAATAAGATTTCGAGTTCGTTGAGCCACGTGTGGGCGGGCACTGTCATGAAACAAAACAATCCTCTTACTGAGCTTGCCATGCCTTTTGTTTTGGATGACGAAATTGTAAAGTGTCTGTTTTCTCAAAGTTTTGCAACAACTTTCTGCACCAAGTCTTCAGTAATGACAGACGGTCGCCTACTACACTTCTTATCATGGACATTAATACCACTGTCTTTAAATGCTCTAGCCAATTTTCTTACCATTCCATCGCTCATAATGTTTTTTCCATACACCTCACTAATCTGCCGATGAATGTCAGCTGATTTCACATCTTTTGCATTAAAAATACAAATCACTGCGCGTACTTCTCAATTGGCAGGATTTTCAAATGTCTCAGGCATTTTAAACACACACAAACAAATGTAAAATGAATGAATGCTTTCGTAATTGCATCTGTGGCTAGCCAACAGATGTAGGTATTCAGCACACATTCGCGGAACACCAATCGTAGCACTGCAGCGGTCCTATTTTAAAACGGTACTTACTTAAAAAACATGTGTCGTATTTTCCTTTTAACATTGCAGTTAGAAAGTGTTCTTTTGTATTTTCAGAATTTTTTTATTTTTCACATATTTCCAATGTCTAAGGTAATAGATATCTTTATATTGTTGAAATTAAAACATTTTGTAGATGGCATATAAAAAAAGAGAAAAAAGATGGTAGAAAGTATACTGTAAGATACAAACATGGAACAAAAATTGTTTAAAACTGATATTTTGATTATACTAATAGAAATATTGAAAGAATGGACAAATTGTAAAAACTTCAGTAAATGAAAAGAAAATGTTACAAAAATATTTTATTCATTATAATGTATGACATTATGCAGGTTTAAAATTAGCAGTTGTCTGGAACAACCAGACGACCAAAATTTTATTTGGACTACCGAATGTACTTTCAAAGTTATCTAGCAGACAGCCTCATTTATTTTCTCTTTTTTTTTTTTTTTTTTTTTTTAACTTTTTTGTATTTGTGAATATTTTATCTTGTTAAATAGTAATGAATACTTTTCTTAATGATGATAAAAACAAAACAGCTGAAAGTCCATTTTAGATGTCGGACCTTATGATGACAAATCAACATGACCACCGTGGTATATGGCAGCAGAAAGAACATGAGATGAGAAAATAAAAAAATTAAGATTCATTTGAGTATCTAACATTATCATCATTGCCATTGTATTGACTTATGAGAGTTTTAGATATGTTATTTACATGACATTTTGTAACTGGAAACTTACAAGAGATTTTGTGCTAACTTATGATATGAGGTGTTTGTGAATCCAATCTGAGTTACAGTGTTCAATACAGTTGATATTTATACATGCATGCAATATTATAATAAAAAAATATATATATAATTTGAAAAATTATAAATTATGATTAATATATATATATATTTACATACAGGGGGGTGAAAAAGTAGGTATACAGTTGTTGTTATAAAAAATCATCCAGGGAGAAAATAGAGGGGAAAAAACATTTATTTTTATGTACAAATTAAATCACAAATAAGGAATATATACTAATAAAAGATAATAAAAATAATAATAATAATGAACATTATAAAGTCAACACACCTTACTACTGAGAAAGCACATTTATTAAGCTAAACAAACGTTTTCAACCCATTTCATGGGCCATCCTCAGGTTAATGACGTTCGAATGAATGGCTTTTCGAACACGTTCAAATTTAAATTATATTAGAACACCAAACATTTGTATTTCTCAGATTCTCAACTGTATACCTACTTTTGCACCCTCTTGTGTATTAAAAAATTTTTATTCATAATATAAATATGAATGAAATTAAATATCCTTTCAGTATTATTTACAGTTAAGTTAAAACACAAATTTAAATAAAATACGGATAATGATAGAAGTAAGATTGTCATCAGAATGAGAGATAGAATACTATTCAAATCTTTATCTGTAAAAGTTTTACAATTGTAGTATTATTGAATTATCACACAAACCAATTTCACTGTTAGCTCTGCTATAAATTTATGAAAATTTATAAATTCAAACAAAACACAAAATAAGATAGGATAATTTATTAACACAATACTGAAAAAACTGCAATAATCTTTCACTAGTGCTGATGGTAAACAAACATTTTAGTTGAATAAAGCAATAAGCATGCTATCTTGTGTATCATCCAACCAGTATGCTTAATTAGGAATTATTATAACTGAATACATTCATTGCAAATGATACAAATTTAACAGTACTAACATATACTACAGGGTGTCCCAAAAGTTTCCATACATAGAAAGGTAAAATGTAACTTTATTCATAAAACATTTAAAATGTCAGCATGAAGATTTGTGTCAATGGATTGATGGAGTAAAGCAATGGAACACATGGGTGATCTGCCAATGGGGTAACTTCTAGCAGGACTTCCTATGTGGAAACTGAATTCTGTTTAGGTGTTAGACACGTGAAGAAAACCCAGAATACTGCATGGTGGCCAGCCCATTGGTCAGCTACGAACTAATGACCAACTGCCAATAAATATCCAATGATTTTATTTATTTGGCTACTGGTGGACTTGATATATATCAATTTATGGAGACTTTTTTTAATCCCCTGTATTTTTAATATATTGTCTCATTAAAGTATTATAGATAATTGGCTTTAAAATAAACATTTTACTGTTAGTCATAAATATCTTTCATAAATGCTGTTTTCAAAAAAGGATAGTTAAAATTTTAAATTTGAAAATTCTAGTTTTTGTTAATTATGTAAAAATTTATTAGAATTATAATCTAAGGTCCATTATACTTTATTTATACTGAAATTTGAGATAGTAAAATTACATTACAAATTTAATTTTTTATGTGGTTAAATAAATGTTGAACTGAAAATTTTTTGATTTTTTAAGGTAATGGTCTTCCTTAAAGGATTTACCCCAGAAGAAAGAAGAAAACTTGCAAAGGTAACCTCAATTCTAGTAGCTGGTGGTCAAATACCTGCTTCTGTTCTTGCAAATACATTGCAGGATCATTTAGTAAGAGATGGTAAGATAAACTTTCTATTTACTTATGCAAGTAACTGTTGGATATATAGTTACATGAGTTGATACAATATTTTTAGGAATTGCCTTAGAATTTATTATGGATGTCTTTCAAGCATGGCTTGTAGATAAAGATAGCACTTCATTATGGGGAGCTTTACGTAAAGCAGGGCTAGATACTCGTTTGTTGGTATGTTTTTGTTACCGATAATTAATGTAAAATGTTTTTTATAGTTATAATCAGAATAAAATTATACCATTCTTCATTTATAAGCACTATTTTTTGTTTAAGGTTTTTAGAATGCTGCAAGAAGATAAAACATGAAACTATAAATCTTGATTTATACTAAAGAAACATCATTTTCATAATTAGCTAGGAAAATGTGTCTAAAATTCTGAAATTTCATTTAATGCACTTCAAATAGAATAAATTATCAATGTCTTTATTGTGTCCTTTTACACACCTCAGGAACAAAACTGTATTTTTTTCCACTGAAGTCAACCTTTTATTGGAGTCTACTCAGCTGCCTTAATATGCAAAAAAACATTTAAAAACATTCCAGGGTGATGGCACAGTGAAATAAAAATATATTAATTAACACATTGGTCAGGATGACATTAATAATTAAAAAATAGAAGAAATTATTAATGTCATTCCTGGCCAATGTGTTAAGTTTATATATATTAATATATATATAT